ACAGTTAGAATATGTACAAATCAAAAGATACGTCAATTCAATCAACAAAGTAAAGCACTGAATAGTGAATAGAAACGGAAACCGAAGATGAAAGAAGGAAGCGAAAGAGTGGTAAAAGAAGGTAAATTGAAAGTTCAAAATGTGGTGCAAAATGGAATCGGATAGGAGTGTTCACTGGTTTCAGTCAGCGTGAAAACGACTAGACGCTGAATTTGATAAGCCTCATTAGTTTTCAGATAATTAGAGCGTAAACAATTGTCGTTCACTTTGGGCCAACTACTTCCAAGAGCTATTCATTAGACTAGTTGAACATCTTGGATAGAACTACCGAGAATACGGAACGTTGACACTTCGAAACAAAACTCGATTAAGTTACTGTAAGAATATACAGATCAGTTGGTGTGATCACACATTCATGCGAAACGACAATATTCCGAACGGGCAAATTGTTGATTGTTCGACAAATTGTGAATTTTTCATTCCACTCACTTATCTTTTATTTTGTGTCAGAATATTCCGCTTTGCACATGTCTAATTTCGCATAATCTCTCCATAAAAACCTAAAGATGATGAAAGTCAATCCCGATTACAGAAAAAAGTTATTCCAATGAAAACAGCACACCATCGAGGGTGTCGCAGAAAATCAACGAAACAAACGACACCGATTCAAAACAAGTGAATATACCTACCGAAAATAAACTAAATATGCATAACAAACAGAATAAAACAATAAATAGACATCTATGTACAGTACAATTATCACCAATCAGTATATCTATGATAGTAACAATACAAGTATTATTAATAATCATAATAAAAATAATTTGAAAAAAAAACATAGCAACAACAACAATAATAATGACTGCAGTGTTAAAGTTAAAGTATTAACAAACAGCTAAAAGGCATTTCAAAATAGTTCTGATATAAAAGACCAGTAGTTAAGATTCAGCCACACATGAAATCGCTATCACAATATCAATTATTCATTTGAGCATTCGAGTTTAGACACGTTAATTGGATCGAAGTGAAAACAACTTCAAAAACAAATAATTCACTGAAGATGAATATGTCGCGTTGTCCTATTTCCTAATTTATGCCTTTTCTATTTCGTCTCATTCACACAGTTTTGCACAGCTCAAATCGGCATTTGAACTGAAGTTCCATTCATTCACAGTTAACTTTTTCTCGGCTCATTCAGTATCTATGTTGTGAATGCCCCTGAAAGTGTGGAGTGTTCGTGAGACAACAAGCACATATTGCACTTCGAAAGCGATTCGGATGAGTTGTAGCGATGTGGCACTTCCATGAGTAGACTCTTTGGGCTTGCAAAGGCTATGACAAGGCCAAACTTTTCAACTGACTACAAAAACGGTGCTGATAGAGGTTGAGGTTGCAGAAAATTCATCGGGTTTGGTTCATTTGCTATGGAGCAGTTGTATTCTTTATTAGACGATTGTTTGGTTCGATTAGTATTTTCACTGTGCTCTCTGCGATCAAAGAGGATTGCTGACACTAGGGAAACATTTCATATGGTCCGTTGTTAAAGGAATGTGTAGATAAAGGTGCCTTCTATATATCCAAGTACAGATCCGACCACATTCCTTATAACAATAAAATTTTGAATAAAATACAATTAATTCACAATTGAATGAATAATAAAAGTAAGGCAACTGAACGTGTCCCCTCGATACGCGAACAACCGTACGGATGTTCGAACATTACGAGAGAGATATGCACAATGAATCGGTCATGGAAAGAATATTAAGACAATAATTCTGATCGATAATTTAAGAGGAAAATTAACATTTTCGAATTTCTTCGTCTGTGAAAAAATAATATTTACAATTTACTCGCCAATATTGCTGCTAGATGCAGACTGGAGATTTTTGAAGAATTGCATTCCATCAAATGTTTTATGGTTTTGATGCATAGAATATCACGATGAACGTTTAACGACGAATAAGTGGAGTACAATATCAGCTTATGCTCGTTGCTTGATTGAAACGTTCAGACGATTACGAAACTTTCTTCGTGATGCACTCAAGCAAACTCTGCTTTACATGAATATCAATCCACCATTACTGCATTATAGCAATATTCGAGAGATTTATAAACAGTCATATCCTACTCGTGATAAAATTATGCACAAAACTAGAACAAATTATTCGCCTAAACACTGAAAAAAATGTATCTTCACGATGTGATCGTACGATCTATTCGATGACTGATGACACAACTACCATGTCTAGATCGCTTCGGAAAAATTTACTCGTCCCAGCGATTTCGCTTCAAAACATTCTTAAACCGTATTCACAATTGTCACAACTGCATCTTTCTTCTCGTCTTCGCACTCTTTATTGTCAACTTGCTCTGTGGACACTTCCTTTTTAGGGTCAGTTTGCTGCTCCTCATCTGAACGATGAATTAATTCATTTGATAGCAAATTTCATCTAAGAATAATATTTGTAACGTTTTAGTGCATTCGTTTTAGCACTCTTCTCAATGGCGAATCAGCTTGGATAGACGGCTAATTTCGCATCAACCAAACAGCTACTTGAATCGNAATTTCCTTTGTCCATGTTTCCATCTAATAATAAAAACCTCATCATATTCATGTTATACTGAAATGATCTTAATAATTGATCAACTCTTAATGATCACTAACCATTCTCAACGATAGCCTTCTCGCTGCTTGGTGATGATCCGTCCAACTTCCTCAGGAATGAATCGCGAGACTGATTAGAGTCAGTGATTTCGGTGGTTAAGCTGCCGTTCATTGAAAGTCCATCGCATTTGGTTGGTTTGCTGCAATCAGACTCCTTTGATGTGTTATTTTAGGATGCACTCTCCAGTTATCCTCTGTGAGTATTCTGAGCACTTTACAGTGATGTGTTTGCAGAGAATTGAAAAAATAAAAATAAAAAGCAAAACTATGCTGCTTACCTATCTTTTTTCGTATCATCATCAACTGCATTGAGATGTTTCGGTGAAATTTTGTCAACAATCCATGATTTCTTTGCATTGGACTTCTCTGAAAAGAGATTATCTGCTTGAGTATTTTCAGCAGCACATAGAAATTAGAAAGGCACATAGGTAAAAGAAACGATTGGTGAAGTATTAAGGAAGAATCTGCGTACCACTCTCTCTCTCCCTGTCTTGAAAGTGTTGTATCAGTGAATTTAATCAATGATTACGAAATCAGATACACTTCATTTTTTGCTAACCACAATAGCACCTTTGGATTTGCTACAAAATAATGCGACGAACTGATGGCGAGGTGTCAGTCTGTGAAAATGAGAAAACGGATACGGTAAAGCGGTGCTGATAAACAGCACAATTGTCACTTTTGGTGTACAACACCGAATAATTTCTTATCACTGATTTTCTCACCTCCGATCAACCATCTTAATCTGACGATTTTCAATTATCGCTCAAATTTCGTCAGATCGAATCGAATTTTGTTGAGATACGAACGTAGTTATGCTAAAAAACTAATTGTAATTCTAAGTCTGAACAATAACACATAAGCATCGCTAGAAAAGTGAAGGCGTAATAGGACAGAAACGAACAAGCTGCAATAGAGCGAAGTCTAGAATATAATAGATAGATGAAACAAAGGAAATGGACAGGACAGTTTAACACAGAGGTAAGTTGGAAAGGTGTAGTTTGAAGAACAGACTGAAAAGAATAGTTGAAGCTTATGCATGACAGATTGGGACAAGCCATTCGAAGCGTTAAGGAGAGCGGCCGGCACCTTAAAGCCATTCAAAATCACCTGCAACATTCTCAGTTCCCTCTTTGAGTTTGTTTGATTTTATGAGTGGAATCGTTGCTTCAGTTTGTTGTTGCTTCTTTTCTTTCGCTAAAAGCATCATCAAAACATCAAAATATCCTCCTCAATTATCATCAACTTAGTCATCTCCTTTGCTTTCGCACTCTTTCGGGTGGATGGATACCTTCTGCCGTAATCGCCATTTGTTTCGATTGTACGATGCCTTTGTCCGATGAAGTATCGTGGCTCATTTCGATGAATAGCAACCATTAGGAGATATTCCCAACAAATGTAGATTTCACAAAAACATAAAAAGTGCATCCCGAATCGATCAGAAAGTCGGACGAACAGATTTCTGATGATTGCAACGAAAAATCACCACATTCCAGTCACTTTTGATGAAAGGCATCCAAACAAACAAACAAAAAAACAAAGAACTATTTCGTTCGGTGTGTTAAAAGAAAAATAAAACGGCAGATAACTCAGTAACATTGCGAAATAAAAAATATTGCGTGCCATCTCTCAAGCAAAATATATCGTCCGATATCATCTCTCTATCTATTTTTCATGATCCATTCTCTCGTCCATGTGCAACCACTGCTGTTTCGTGGGCTTAAAGCAATGAATCGCTCTTGCAACACTTGCAACAACTATTCTTATTCTTAGGCAGCAAGACATTGTGATGGAGCCAAGATGCAAAGAAGAACATTCATTCTTCCTTGGAAACAAAATATCATCTGATTCATTCCCTCATGCAATTGCTCGTTTCATAACATCTTTAGTGGCTTCTAAGCTCATAAAAACATCACATCGCTCCATTATTTCGACCAAATTTGTGCAGCCTCCAAAGAGGTTACTGTTTCTGAGAGGAGTTGCATTGTTCTGATGATTGCAACAACTTCATATGTGAATGCCAAAAAGCCAACTGCACTGATTCTAGCTGATCACAGTAGAATATTTCGTAGTCATGTGCATGACAAGAAAAGACAACATGAACTACTCAGTGGTGAACTATCCTTGAACTGACACTGCCCAACATTCACCTAATATATTATAAAATGCGAGCGATGAATGGATCAGACAGACGTCTCAGTCAATGTTTCATGTGAGCAAACCTAAAACCTGTCTAATCAGAACGCGTTACAAGAAAGTTTTAGGGTCGAACACCTCTGAGAAGTGCGATCGAGTCAAGAGATTAGACGAATTCATCTAAACACTAGACGATTCTTTAGCAAAGCTCACCATTGGCAACTTTTCCGAATTCGACGTCCTTCTTCCGTGTTGAGCAATCAATTCCGCAAAGTCGTTTCGCCAGTGGTGTTTTTCCTTCTTTCATTGGGAAGATGACGAAGAGTGCGAGTTGAATGAGCGCAAGGGTCATTCCAATACCGTTCGGAATCTTAAATCGTAGAAAATTACAGAATTGGTTCAAGTGAACGCTTCGCTTGCAGTCTTTGCATTTGCATTTGCTAGCACCTTATAGTACAAAATCAACGAAGTATTTTGGCAAAAACGAATAACACCAAACGGTATCGAGCGTTCTCAATTCGTTTTGTTATTTGTCGCGAAACGTTTGATCCGGTTGCAATTCATAGCAAGAAATCTCAAAAACAGCCTGAGAGATGGTTTATAGAGCTGCTTATGCTTGAATTTTATTGTGTTCCTATAGGCCAAGCATTTAGAATCAGCAACTATTATCGTGAACATCGCATAATTTGTTAATGAGCGTAATTCATGACCACTGTGCTTCGTACTTGATGCAAATATGAAAGGAATACTGCTCAAGTGTGATCGCGCGAGATCATCGTATAAGAGCAAATGACGACTCACCACTAAATAGATATCTCTGATTAAAACACCGTATAAGCACCACTGGCTCGAAACTGCAAAATTTGCAGTGCACAATGGCAATGGAAGCGTTTCACAACTGCGTTGACGTAAGACGACACGCTGCAATGTTCAGTTACTGTTTACTTAATTCANGCGACCTTCGTGGATGTGAGATTGTGTTGCAGGTTGTGCGAGGCAACAAATTTTAAATTCTTCGTATCAGTTTTAAACTCTTCATGAATTTTTTCGACTAACAATGAACGACGAGCATTTATGTTTGAATGACCCATAAGAAAACAAACGAATAAGAGTTGAATACTGACCAATCCAGCGAGTGGTGCTCCGAAATTGATAATGTTGAATGTCATACAAGCAAAACCGAGTGGATGTATGACTGAATTGCCGTAGATTTGTACAAGAAAAGCCATGATCGAAATCATAAACACAATAGCACTAATTTCGAGAGAGATCATTAACTGAAACACGATAAGCTATCACTTCTTGGAAGAATTGCTTTTGCAAACTAAATGAGCAATCGTCTCACAGTCATAAATGAGCATTCATTTAATAGTGTACCTTTGGTGTGGTGTAGAAGAAATAGAATATCAAATAGGATGTCATTAGTGTAACAGCCGTTATATTAACTGTTATCATCGCGTAATCCATTTTTAACAAACCGTATCGCAACCAGTAGGATGCACTGAAATTTTTGTATATCGCTTTTCTGATTCAACTGAATTCTCACTGCGCAATTTGTTGCTTTCTGATTCAGATCGATTTCATTGCTGCGTTGAAATAATACTCAGGAATCAACAATGTGATTCGATTTGAAAGGTATGAAACTCACCCAAGGACTCCCATAAGAAATGGCGCTCCACTGATATCTTTAGTGCCTCTTCGCTTGTAAATATTGATACATATTGGTCTAAAACAGACTTTTTGATCAAAATATCACGATTTGCAGTTTCTAACGTCATCTAACAAACTTTTCACCTTTTCGTTGAATCAATGCTTGTTTTTAAGATCTTAAGTATGTCTTGCTCAAGTAGGCATCGTACAAAAAGTTCCAAAACGAACTGGAACATATGATATTTTGGGATATCAACTTTCAAGAAACTTTCGCCATGTTTTTTTCCACGTTTCAACTGACGAGCATTTTCAAAGAGGAGCGCTTACATTCCACAAAAGAAGAGCGTTATTGTGCTAATAGTGGCCGTCACTGAAAGAACGCCAAGGACGGTGATACTTTCGAAGAACATTGTTAGTTGTCGTAACGATTACTTATCTGAAATCGAGTACTTAGCATGAATTTAATCATCATTGGTCACGAATACATCCAATGGTCGCTCGCATTCAATCGCACTAAGACGAATGATATTGTTTAGACGCAGCACACACGAGGAACATGGCATTTGTTGAGGATGCGAATGGAACAGG